ATCGAACCGTGGACCTTAGCTTATACTGTGGGGGTTTGGCAGCTTAACCACTAAGCTATAGAGCCCAAACCCTTTAAGAAATCTTTAAAAAAACTTCTTTTTTATATATAAAATTTCTTTAAAAAAAATCAATTTTTTTTAAAAATTTCTCAAGAACTACTAGGCCAATTTTAATATTTTTTCAGTATTAAATACATTTTGATAAGCTTTACAACTTTTGTTAGAAGCTGAAAAATATTTACTTAGTATAAAAAAAAGTTTTAGATAAAGATGCTGTGCATTCACACTTATAGTAAAATTTATATGAAAAAAAAATTTTTTGTTTAGGTAACTGGTGAATCGCCTATTAAATTAATTACTACTAGCTGTAATCAAACCATTGACCTTATCAGTGAAGAGTTAGGTGCCCAGACCACTAGGCTATGAGAACCTAACTCAGAGAAGCAAAATTTTTAAATTTATTAAAATTTATTATTAATATATTATTTTTTTATTAGCTAATTTATATAATAATAAAATTTGATAAAGAAATTGAAAATTGTTCTTTATCTTATAAAGAGTGAAATCAAATTACAATGATTCAAAAATCATTAAAAGTATTTAAAATATATATTATAAAATTTTTATATATAAATTTTATATTTTATTAATTTTATTTTATAATATAAGATTTTGAACAAGCAACTATTAATATTAGTGGTTGCAAATATTCAACTATTGAATTAGTTGTTTCATATTATTATAATTTACTTGATGCATTAGAAAAATCTCTTATAAATTGTTCTAATTTAATTATTAAAAAAGCAATTAAAAAAGCTCAAACTAAATTGAAAAAATATTATTCAGATACTAATAGTTTAGTATATATTATTAAAACAAGTATATATTATATAAACAAATATAATTTATACTAGGGGCTATTAATAACCTATCCCAAATTAGCCAATCAAATTTCAAAATATACATATAAATTATATAGTAATATATAGTATTTAATATACTATTATACAAATTTTGCAAAAAAGCTAATAGTAGACTAAAATTTTAACTACTTTTATACATTAACAAAAGATATAGGAGTGAGTCAATAGAAAAGAGACAAATTTTTTCTAAGTAAAAGTTTTCTTGACTTTAGGTTTAAATATCTTGGCAATTATCTTATCAAATTTAATAAGGCAAAACTAAATTAAACATTTATTCGAATTTTGTGAATTTGTAAATAAGCATCAAAAAATTTTCTAAAAATTTGTTGAAAGTTAAATTAATTTTTTTTGTACTTAAATTAAATTTTATTTTTTTCATATTTAAATTAATTTATTTTTATTTTTCGTATTAAAAATAATTTTTTTTTCATATTTAAATTATTTTTACTAACAAAAAATAATGTACATGAAATGTTCTTTGTTCCCAAATAAAACTTCAATTGAAATTTTTTTATTTTAATTTTATATAATTTCAAGATTAAAATAAAAAAATTTCTAGCAAATTTGATTAATTAGTTGTTGAGATATTTTAATTTAAATATTAAAAAAATTTTACTAAAAATGATTTGTTCCTTTTCTATTGACTCTCCCTATATATTGATTTAAATTTTGTATTGTGCTTTAATAACTTGATTTTTACATTGCATCTACCACTAATATTAATATTTTAGCTATTATGTAAAGCTCTTTGGATAGTTGATTTTGGCAACCTATTTAAATAAGTATACTTTAAGCATTATCAAAATCAGCATATTACATATACTGTTAACCCTCCCAAAATCAATTGATAATCTGTCAAAAAATTAGTTTACCAAGTCTGTTTCTGTTATATAAATCTAATAGTTTATGTTTTCAAATCTGATAACATTTCAATACTAATACAAAACCTGTATATGTACTATATATATATATTGGTTTTGAAAGCTTTAATAGTATATGAATATACACATGTATGTATAAACATATATACATATATACATATAAATAAATGTATATATGTATGTATATATGCAGTTTAAATAGCATATATAAAAGCTTTGACTAATTTAAACTAGCACTCATCTAACTTTAAAAAAAATTTAAAAGCATTAAACACAAGAATTTCATACAACTTTAGTATTGAATTGTGATTTAAATCAAATTTCTTATTTATACTTTAGGCCAAATATAAAATTTGATTCAATTTCAATTTTTAGATACAACATAAATTTATATACAAAAGTAACGAAGTTGATACAATATAAAAGAATTGCACAGCTCTAGATACAAAAAACACAAACGATTTTGAAAACATGTATAGCTTTGTAAAATTTCAATATAAACATTTTACCATTACTTAATTTTTGTATTTAATCTTGTGAAATTATTTTTTCAATAAACAATTTCAAGAATCATGGTACCATGATCTACATATAGCATATTGCCGCTTGTTTTTTTTTATTGATCCTGATGCTGATATTTTATCTTGATTATTTGAACAAATATTCTTGGTGCCATGATTTTCAATAGCTGACAAACATCTCTTGTTTGAAGAGTAGCCCTACCTTTATGTTGAAGAGGATTTGAAATCGTAAATTCTTGTTCAGATAGTTCTTGTGTGTTTTTTTAATTCGAAGCTTGCTCATCAATAAATCGTTGCAAAAGACCTTCTAAAGTTCTATTTGAACTATTTATAATTGCTACATCTAAAGCTTTCTTACAAAGTTCAAGACTATGACCATAAACAACTTCTTTTAAATCCAATTTCACAGCATCTTAATTATTAACTTCTTGTCCACAGATTTTTTTTAATACTTGAAATGTTCCTGTTTGAAGTGGTTTATCATTATTTTTTACTACTTGAATAGATAACTCTTAACTTGTATCAAATGTCAAAAGACCTTCTTCAGAGTACCAATGAGATAGTATCAACTTTATATTAAAAAATGTCTTCTTCAACTAAATCATCACTGCAAAAAAATATCAACAAACAAATCCAGAATATATTAAATAAAGGTGCAATAATGCGTTTCATTATCAAGCAATACTACAAACTGTGAATGATTTGTTGTGCTTTGAATATACTTGACCTCCCAAATTTCATTCACTTTACTTTCACTACAATCCTCTAAAGCCATATTTAATAATACTTGTAGCTCTTCATAGTCATTCTCTATAAAACCTATGTCATAATTCAGTTCTTTATTCATATTGGTATTAAGTTTATTGGAATATAATAAGGTTTTATATAAAAGGCTTTCTAGCATTTGCTTTCATTGCAGTGCTAGTGAATTTTGTATGAGATACTTTTTACACATAATATCAATACTTTTAAAGGTTGTACTAATAACATTAAGAAGACCTGCTGTTGGATTCATATTTCGAAATTCTTGCAATCTTGCATATTTTGCTTTATCTTTTAACTGCAATTTCAGCTTGTAGTTAATATAATGAATTTCCAGAATTTGCCTCTAATTTAATAACCTGATTTATGCTTTCAACATGTTGCTAAAAAATTTTGTTTTGTGAATATATGAGCCCAATATTTCTTAGTTGGATATACTGATATTACAATATACTTGAACTTCCAGATATTTGTTCATTAGCTTCATCCAACGATGATCTAAGTCAGATATTACAAGAGAATTTTGAAGTGTATAAAAATTAGAAATGAACTCATCCCATTTATCATTGAGCTTTTTTTTAATTTTTTTGACTAAATTTTGGTAGATATGAAATGCATAGTACCGAACTATAGTATCAGAATATTAAATAGATATAGCTACTTGCATTGCAGGATTCACATTAGTAAAAATCACTTTTGGTTGAATATATATATTTTTTTTAAATCTTTGATAGTCTTGCCAATGCTTAATTTATTGCAACTATATTTAGATAAGAGCTAAGCTCTCTCAAACAATACATATATTATTTATAACCACAAACAGGGAGTTATCATGATAGCGAGCCTGATATCTTCTGGCTATGATAAATGTGCCTATATGCAACTTGTCGCACCAACCTGTATACAAGTTAGATAAACTTTGTCAGCCCATCAAAGCTTTTTTCTTCATATCTTCTTTCTTTACCAAAAGCAAAAAAAAGTGATGATCTTATACAAAACCACCAATATTACCAGTGTTGAGCAAATTAGTGGTTGACCAAAAATTTACTAGTCAAATTGGTCTGGTCAAATTGGTCAAATAGTCGAACTGGTCAAATTGGTTAAATCAATTATATAAATATAAATATATATTATATAATAAATTATATTTAAATATACTATTTGACCAATTTGACTAGTACAGATCCTTTAACCAGATCAGTCAAATTGGTCAAATTGGTCTGGTCCAATGGTCAAACTAGTCTGGTCAAGCCAACACTGAATATTATCAAGAAAACAAAATAAAAACCTAACTAAAAAAAACAAATAAAATGAAAATGTATTTTTAAAGAAAGAAAAAAGAGAGTACAATGAGATATAAAAAAAGAAACACAACAAAGGGGAAAACTACCTTTATCAAGAAATAGCATAAAGGAAACGAGAAAAAAAAACAAAACAAGAAATACACTATTATAACCCATGTCAGGTTTAAAAAAAAAATTTATAACAACTGCAACATTTGTATATCTCAATTACAATATAAGAACTTTAATATCCGACTTCTGGCCACCTCTGGATAGAGCTTACAGATTCCTTATTCAAATAATATTTGAATAATTTGAATTAGAAAATATCTATTCGAATATTTGCCGAATGACTAATATGATTCGAATAATAATACTTATTCGAATAATTATAATCATTCGAATAACTAATATTATTTGAATAAGTATTATTTATTCGAGCAATTATAGTTATTCAAATTATATTAGTCATTCGAATTACTATAATTATTTGAATTCTATTAGTTATTTGAATAATAATACTTATTCGAATAAGTATTATTATTCAAATAACAAACGCTTATTCAGATTTTGAGTTTGAAGTTTAAATTTCAGATATACTATATCGATATAGCGAGCACCGGTATAATTTTTTGTACATATAAGATCACATGTGTGAGTTCAATTTGCCAAGTTAAATGATAATTAGTTAATATTTTATTTTAGCACTATATCTTTCAATAAAATGTTTCAGTAGCTTTTGCCTCACTCAATTGGATATGTGATATGTCTAGTTGCAGTCACATGTTCGATCATTCATTCATAAGCATGTAGTAATTAGTAATGCGATTAGTGATATAAGTATGATTAAAGTAATTTAGTATTAATAAGTATGTAATAAATTAAGTATAAGATAATTAAGACGAAGTAATTGAGTAAATATAAGATAATCGGATTATAATGTTTTAGTAAGCATGAGAATTTTGTCTTTTCGCAAATCTAACTTTCATTCTGGAAGATGGTACGATGTTTGTTTTCGATAACAACATTATATATAGTCAAAAAAAAAGAAAGAAAAAGTTGATTCTCACAAAACAAACTCAAGATCTTTTATTTAATAAAATTTAATACAATAAAATTTTTTACTAAAAAACTTGAATAGTTATAATTTCATTTATCTTCTAATCTAACAAATAATTTCATGTTTCTTTTCAAAAACAATATAGATGCCAACAACTCTGGCTTTAAACAAGAATGACAAGCAGATAAATGAAGACTAGCATCAGAAAATAACCTTTTATTTGGTACCGATGTGGCAGGAATTGATAAGTATTTCATTGCTAATCTAGACAAAACTGGTAAGATATTAACTTGTTCCTTCCACCATTCTAATATATTACATTCCTGAGCTTCTTTTGGTAAAGCTAAATAACAAATAACTTTATTTGACATATTACTTTCTTCTTCATCAGATAGTCTGAGTAAAGAATAGTTAACTTGATTAATATTTGATGGTTCATTTGTAAGTGATAACTTAGGTAAATTGTTATATAAAGTATCATCTGATTCTTTTATAATAATAGCTTGTTTAATTCAATATGGCTTATTTAGCTTATCAACTGTTATATTACATTGAGTTTCTGTAACAATCTTAAGCTTTTTGTATTGGGGGTCCAACAATGCTGAAAGTAAGGTAATTTCCTTTGGAATATCCCAATACTAGCACATACTTAGATAAATTGTAGCTTTAACCTGTTCTAATATATTCGTAATAGCAACTGATGGTTCGATAGCTTGACGTTTTTTAAACTGTGAATCAGAATTTCGCTGACTATTAACTGGTATATTTTCATGTTTTTGAATACGACCATGTGATATATTAAGAACTTGATCAGCACGAGCTGCCAAATTAATAATTTTATCATCTGAATATATATTAGTTGAACTTTGACTTGCAGATGTATCTAATTCTCCATACAACAATTTTGCATAATAGTTTTCATCTTTATCATTTGGTGGAGCTATGGTTTTCTTAAAATGGTACATAGTACAACAAACTATATTAAGTGTAGTATATGAAACCCCTGATAGCATTTTTGTTGCTTCATAAAAAGGTGCTAATATGGTTAATATATCCAAAAGTAAACTATAAAAGTAGAATAGTTTAATTAATAAAACAAAAATATAAAAGTTAAAATTAATAGAATAATAAAATTACCTCCATTCTGAATCTATCAAATTAATTTGATCCAAATAGTCAGCATCATCTTTATTATCCTTCTCTGAAGAAATTTTTAAAATGGTAATAAGGTAAAGTATAGCATTTTTTAGCTCAAGTAAATATTTCCACGCAACATATGTCAAGTTCCAACGGGTTCGAACATCTAAAAGAACTTTATACACTTTTTGGTAGTTTAACTTGCGCTGCGTATCTCTAAGATTCTCTGTATTTTTAGAACTACTATTAAAAAATAAAATAAGATTTGTTACATATTTCTTGAATATACCAGTAGCATTAAAACCTTTTATTACACTTAAATGAAGTGTGTGGGTGGCACATGGCGCATGTGAAGTTTTCATTAACCGGATAGCTTTTACGACGTTCGCACCATTATCTGTAGTAGCAGCGATTAATTTTTGCTTAAGTTGAAATCGTTCAATTATATTCTCTATAGTATCTCTAATATTTTCACCAGTATGCTTTCTATTAATTTTTTTACAGGCTAGTAATGCTTCTTTTAATAACCAATCTTTAGGATCTATCCATCTGGCTGTAACTCTGATATATGGTTTATTGTTATGTGAAGACCATCTGTGATAATACTAACAGAAAAAGTGTCTTGTAATAATTCTGTAAGTTGTCTAGTCGATTGGGTATATGTATTAATAATCATACATTGTGCTTTATCATTACTTGGAACTTTAAATTCAGGCAATGCTACTTCCATAAATGATTTAAAAGACTGGGACCGCAAAAGATAAAGTGGTTGACAGTTATCAATTATCCAAGTTAACATGGCGATTTCAATAATTAGTTGTTTTTTGTGAGCAGTCTTTCTATAACCAACTTCAAAAATATCTTTAATATTTCTGTTTTCCACCTAAATTTATTATTATTAAGTTTTTTTTTTAATTAATTATACAGTATTAAAAAAAAAAAAAACTTATATTTCTTGTAGGATTTTTTTAGTAATTCCATGTTCATTTTCTAAATGATATATCATATTGCTTGTGGTGCCGTGAAATTTATACTTTACACTTTTTCCCTTTTTATTATATATTTGATATTAAGCATGAGCTTTATCTTCTAAAACTGTAAAATATTGCTATATGTAACTCGGATTACTTGAATTTTTAGCATTAAGTTGAGCTTCTTCTTGTTCACTAGTAGTACTATTGTTTTCTACATATACATGTTTTCGAATATTACTAACTTTGTGTTTATCTTTACTGTTTATATGAGATATTTTTCTAGACACAAGATTTTTTAAGACCAGTTTATTCAAAAAAAAAAAAAACTCTGCCTTTATAGTATCGTTATAAAAACAAGGTAATGCAGTTCGACTTTTTTTTTTGAGAATTATATGATTTAATCATCTTGGATACATGTGCTAAATTATTATTATTATTATTATTATTTAAATTGGCAGTCTTGCCAATATTGTTTATTAGTATGCTAATACAGGTTGAAAGATAAAAAATCAGACACAAATTGGGTACCCAATTTTAAACTAATTACTGCCTGATTACCACCTGATTTATGCATATTTTTGTACCAAAAATTTGGTACAAAAATATGC